GAATAGGTACAGACTTTAAGTGTTGGCAATTGTAATTATAATCATTTTAACTGTATATTTTATAGGAATAATAAATGTACGAAGGCAATTACAAGCCATAGCCAAACCAAGCGGTATGCTCGATATTTGAACATATAAATACTATTGTAATACATAAACTAATATGAAATTGTAATTAAAGTCAAGCAATAAAACTTTGGCTGTTGCAAAGGTGTTAAATCAATAAGTAAGCTGCAAAATATTATATTATCGAAAAATAAAGATATATGTCACTATTTTTATTTGGAATGCTAACAAAATAAATATGTATATCATTTATGTAATTAATATTCCATACACCTAATCTTGCCGACCCTTGCCAGAATGTTCAGAAGAGCACAAATTAAAATAATGTATAAGATTTTATGAGCTCTGGGCACGTCATGTTAATCAATCTAGAGCCATAATTTATGATTTGTTACTCAAACAAGATATGGGTGGAGTTCTTAGTCATTTAGTACAGTACTTGAACTAACAAATGTTATAGCTTAAGATGTGTCTCACACACTGCACCAAGGGCCCCTGTACGGGGGAAAAAAGGTAAATCTGCAGCTCAGGCAAATTGATGCGGCCTCTGCGTTGGTCATAGATAAGTGTTGAATACGAAGCTTGGAAACAATATTTGGAAAAAAAAACAGTTTCAATTCAGAACTCAAAGTAAAAGGTTGTTTCATTTATTTGGCATCCCTAACAGCAGACATTTCGGTTAACATTTGATTTTATAATTTTCGTCTTGGAACTTTCAAAACATTTTCGCAATAGCAAGGGTGTACGACGTTGTCCTTGCTCAAAGAGGAGAAACAATATATTTCAAAATGCCATTTTAACGCAAGAGCAGGAAATATATATGCGAATCGAAGCATAATAACAAAAGTACATTCACTACTAAAAATCTTGAATAGACTGGAGCAGACTTTTGTGCTCCAGAGCAATGTTGTGATGATGTTCCTAATAGTTTCAATGATTTAGTGAGAGAGAGTGAGAATTCCAAATAAAAAAGTTTCAAATCTCGCCTAGCGCAGTGTATTTCTGAATATAATATTAGCAAAAGACTATATAATGATTTGCTTCTGTTGTTATCCGAAAAATTCAGGATTGGCAAGAGATGTTCGAAATTTAAAATGCACAGGAAGCAAGGTTTACTACAATGTAACAGAGGCGTTGATTTTCTTAACAATATTGGTTATTAATCTGATAGCCTGAGCCTGAACAATGATGTGGACGGAGTTCCGTCCAAAAACTTGTCATTGACACAAAGACATTTCTTGTAGCTGGGATTTAAGTTGGTAATTCCAAGCCTAGCGATCCCAATTTTTATTAAGCATAATTCGTAGGCGAGCTTTTAGAATTAAATAGGGATGGAATAATATTTCAAGGTAGAGATCTTGACTTTAGCTTTAGGTCTATCGATGCAGCAGCACGTTTATATATTTTGGGTGTTAAGCATCACTCTGAATTTTATGCTTTCAACAATTGCAATTAAAAGGGAGAAAGTTTTCAAAGGCGAATGTTTTTTTTAAATTTCAGAGAACGTCTTTCGAACAGATTACAGTTTTCGAAACCGCTTTTAGAAAACTGGTTAATTGACTTGAATAACAATGTTTCCCTTTGGCTACTACTAATGGCTTTTGGGTAAAGGTCATCAATTATCTTTAAATCTGCGGACAATCAGTTCAATAAGTTACAAATTGATTTCGTTTCAAAGATTTATTCCTAGAGAATACAATAAATGCCGAGATCTCATGATGATCTTGAAAGATTTAAGGCAACTGAATTGAACATTGAATTGTGTATACTAGACCCTAAAAAAATCCAAGCACAACCAGATAAAACCCCTTTTTTTTATCACTTATCCTTTGCATGCGACTGCTTCTTCATACAGAATAGTATTATATATATATATTATATTATCTCCTCAAAAGCACAATTCTTCCCGTTTTCTTAATAATTTCGTAAAACAACTTACCTCATTATGTAAGTAAACAATGCTTACATTAAATTCCCACTGTCTAAAACATATTCCCTTGCCTACGGCTCTTTAGAGACGATAACCTCTTTTCCGTTTGAAAATGTTCTTGGACAATTGAAAATAACGGTACACAAGAAAGGAAGCAAAAATTTGTATTTTTTTCATATATCTTTTCGAATATTCCGATTGTTTCATAGGAGCTGAGCTATATGAAATAGTCGGCCCATTTTTTTTTATCAATTTTAAGCCCTTATTCTAAAAAACAAATACATATATATGTATATCGATAAACTACAAAATATATACTACAAAAATATAAAAAAAAAAGCAAAGTTATGATTTGAATTTTTTCCGATTGTTCCTATGGGAACTATATGTTATAGTCTTCCGATCCGGCTCGTTCCGACTTATTTACTACCTGCAATGGGAAGACAACTTCTGGAAAAGTTGCATGCAGATGATTAAAAAGTGAGACACAAGTTTGCGTAGAAACGGACGGACGGACAGACAGACATGGCTAGATCGACTCTCCTGGTGATGCTGATCAAGAATATATATACTGATGTGCACATTATATTATACTTAATTCACTAATATCAGAACATGAAACAAACAACTAAACAACTCTTTTTAATCTGGATATGGAAACTGTGGCGAAGAAGATGAATTAATTAATAAACCCCATTTATAATTTTCAAACAAATATTAAACAATTATTTATAATTAAAGCCCATCTTAGGCAAAATTAATAAACTAGATAAGAAACTGGACTTGATTACAAAATAGCTCGTTTGCAACACTGTGGAAATAATTGCTCTTCGAACCGAGTTTTCATAAAGCGATGCCTCTTTGAGCCTTTTAACTCGAAGAACTGATGAGCTTCGAGGAAAGTTTGAAGGAGGAGAGTTTCTTTAAAAACGTGGCAAGTATTTTAAATGCAGCTCACGAGATAATAATGATGTCAGTTAAACCCAGGAACGCGCTTTTGCTCCGGAAAGATCAAAACTGCTGATGGAAATCTGTGTCATGTAGTGGGTCATGGGTTCACTTAACCCATCAAATTCTTTCTCATACCAGCATTAAAGCAGGGTGCATATTTAGGAATGGATTTTTGGACAAGTTTTGGTCAAGGCGATCAGATTTTGAGTTCAAATGTATCGGAATTAGACGTAGGGGACTCAGATAATGAATCGGACTCGCCTATAATGCCCAAACTTTCGTCGGGACAACAGCAACGGTCTTTCCGTCTTGTAAAGATGAAGGTTTGGGAAGGACTAGTGTTATTTCGCATTCAATAGATGAAGATTACGAAGAATTGGCCAGTGTCACCAGCTCGAGAGAAATTAATGTTTAAATAGATAGATAATATGTTAGCTTAGGGGTTATCAAACCTTACAACTGTCCTTGGAATAGCAATTGTGTTTTGGTAGAATAGGAAGGTAAAGTTCGATTATGTTTAGACTGGAGAGAGCTTAATAAACACACTTGCACGGACGCGTACCCTTTACCTCATATAGAAGGTATATTGAGTAGGTTGCCTCCGATTCGGTTTATAAGCAGATTGGAACTAAAACAAACATTCTGGCAAATTCCTCTAGAGGAAAAATCACGCCAGTATACTGCCTTTACTATCCCTAACAGGCCATTTTACCAGTATGTGGTGATGCCTTTCGGTTTAACTAATGCGCCCCAGACGATGTGCAGACTTATGGATCAGGTCAATCCACCAGAATTGCGTAACCGAGTTTTCATGTATCTAGAAGATTTACTCGTGATGTCAGATGATTTCGATTCCCATTTGCTCTCGTTACAAGAAATCGCTCTTTGCCTTGGAATGGCAAAAATATCGATTAATGTGAAGAAGTCTAGTTTTTGCATGAGGGAAATGAAGTATTTAGGTTTTATAATTCGCGACGGTCAGATCAAAACATCTTCTCAGATCATTTAAGCTATAAATAACTTTCCTGTCCCAGTCATTGTAAAGCTGTTAAGGCGCTTTCTCGGCTCAACTGGATGGTACCGCCGTTCTGTAGAAAATTAATCCTAATTAAGCATTCCCTTGACAGAGTTGTTAAAAAAGCAGAAATCCTCGTTTGTACGGACGGAGGATGCCCTTATCGCTTTCAAAAAATGGAAAAAGCGATTAACCTCCGCTCCAATCTTGTCCACTCCGAATTTCGACCAATGATTTATCTTACTGTGTGACGCAAGTTCGTACGGACTTGGTTGTGTCCTTTCACAAGAAAATGATTAAAGTATAGAAATGTCCATAGCATTTATGTCCTCAAAGTTAACCAAAGCACAATGAAACTATTCCGTTACGGAATTAGAATGTTTGGCAGTTTTGAAAGGCATAGAGAAATGTCGTCCTTACATCGGTCAGGAATTTTTAGTTTTCACAGATAATGCCTCGGTGCAGTGGCTTATGCGTCAGAAAGGTCTCTCTGAACGATTAGCTCGCTGGTCTATTCAATTGCAAGGGTTTGTTTTTCAAATTGAACATAGGATCACCGAATGTTGTACCTGATACCCTTTGCAGGCAGGACGAGCCATCAGTGGACGAATTTGTGGATCATAGATCTATCTTCCAATCATTGATCTATCTTCTGAAGCTTTTCGTAGTGCTAAGTATATGGACATAATCGACCGAATTCAAAAGAATAAGGCTATTTTACCGGATTTTAAAGTAATTGAATTTAAAAATTACACATTACAATCAGAAAGTTAAACAAAGAAGCTCTGAACCTATATGAAAGCCATGTTAAAGAACCAAAAGAAATTCAAACGTTTTCTAACGTCATTGAATTTTTGGAGCAGCGGTTATGTACAATTAGCTCAATTCAGCATGAAAAGCCTGGAAAAAATATATTTAACAATTATCCTATTAGCAAAGACATGGAACAAAACATTTTCCCATGCACAATTGTTTTTTAAATGTTTAAAGCTTTTCGGTTTGAAAAAAAATCATCGTTACATGCTATACATGATTTATAAAAAAATAATAAAAAAGAAAAAGTCAACGCTGGCATGACAACGATTCGCAAAACACAACTACTTCGAAAAAATTTGCAAAGATTTTAAAATTACCGAAAATTTGATCTTAATCGGAGATCAGTGGAGTGTCTTCCACAGGAAAGTGCATATTGAGGCACAAGGTAACGCTTTCAATAAAAAGCAATAATTGCCAGAAGGATTTAACAATGGAAGCACTAGTACTTTCAAAGTTAGCGGGAATCTTATCAAGTAAAATTTCCAATTTTGTCTGTCCAATTTGTCTGAGAATTTAGTTCTGCAAGGATAAAGAATAGGTACAGACTTTAAGTGTTGGCAATTGTAATTATAATCATTTTAACTGTATATTTTATAGGAATAATAAATGTACGAAGGCAATTACAAGCCATAGCCAAACCTAGCGGTATGCTCGATATTAGAACATATAAATACTATTGTAATACATAAACTAATATGAAATTGTAATTAAAGTCAAGCAAGATTTGTTACTCAAACAAGATATGGGTGGAGTTCTTAGTCATTTAGTACAGTACTTGAACTAACAAATGTTATCGCCTAAGATGTGTCTCACACACACACAGTTAACATTTGATTTTATAATTTTCGTCTTGGAACTTTCAAAACATTTTCGCAATAGCAAGGGTGTACGACGTTGTCCTTGCTCAAAGAGGAGAAACAATATATTTCAAAATGCCATTTTAACGCAAGAGCAGGAAATATATATGCGAATCGAAGCATAATAACAAAAGTACATTCACTACTAAAAATCTTGAATAGACTGGAGCAGACTTTTGTGCTCCAGAGCAATGTTGTGATGATGTTCCTAATAGTTTCAATGATTTAGTGAGAGAGAGTGAGAATTCCAAATAAAAAAGTTTCAAATCTCGCCTAGCGCAGTGTATTTCTGAATATAATATTAGCAAAAGACTATATAATGATTTGCTTCTGTTGTTATCCGAAAAATTCAGGATTGGCAAGAGATGTTCGAAATTTAAAATGCACAGGAAGCAAGGTTTACTACAATGTAACAGAGGCGCTGATTTTCTTAACAGTATTGGTTATTAATCTGATAGCCTGAGCCTGAACAATGATGTGGACGGAGTTCCGTCCAAAAACTTGTCATTGACACAAAGACATTTCTTGTAGCTGGGATTTAAGTTGGTAATTCCAAGCCTAGCGATCCCAATTTTTATTAAGCATAATTCGTAGGCGAGCTTTTAGAATTAAATAGGGATGGAATAATATTTCAAGGTAGAGATCTTGACTTTAGCTTTAGGTCTATCGATGCAGCAGCACGTTTATATATTTTGGGTGTTAAGCATCACTCTGAATTTTATGCTTTCAACAATTGCAATTAAAAGGGAGAAAGTTTTCAAAGGCGAATGTTTTTTTAAATTTCAGAGAACGTCTTTCGAACAGATTACAGTTTTCGAAACCGCTTTTAGAAAACTGGTTAATTGACTTGAATAACAATGTTTCCCTTTGGCTACTACTAATGGCTTTTGGGTAAAGGTCATCAATTATCTTTAAATCTGCGGACAATCAGTTCAATAAGTTACAAATTGATTTCGTTTCGAAGATTTATTCCTAGAGAATACAATAAATGCCGAGATCTCATGATGATCTTGAAAGATTTAAGGCAACTGAATTGAACATTGAATTGTGTATACTAGACCCTAAAAAAATCCAAGCACAACCAGATAAAACCCCTTTTTTTATCACTTATCCTTTGCATGCGACTGCTTCTTCATACAGAATAGTATTATATATATATATTATATTATCTCCTCAAAAGCACAATTCTTCCCGTTTTCTTAATAATTTCGTAAAACAACTTACCTCATTATGTAAGTAAACAATGCTTACATTAAATTCCCACTGTCTAAAACATATTCCCTTGCCTACGGCTCTTTAGAGACGATAACCTCTTTTCCGTTTGAAAATGTTCTTGGACAATTGAAAATAACGGTACACAAGAAAGGAAGCAAAAATTTGTATTTTTTTCATATATCTTTTCGAATATTCCGATTGTTTCATAGGAGCTGAGCTATATGAAATAGTCGGCCCATTTTTTTTTTTATCAATTTTAAGCCCTTATTCTAAAAAACAAATACATATATATGTATATCGATAAACTACAAAATATATACTACAAAAATATAAAAAAAAACAGCAAAGTTATGATTTGAATTTTTTTCCGATTGTTCCTATGGGAACTATATGTTATAGTCTTCCGATCCGGCTCGTTCCGACTTATTTACTACCTGCAATGGGAAGACAACTTCTGGAAAAGTTGCATGCAGATGATTAAAAAGTGAGACACAAGTTTGCGTAGAAACGGACGGACGGACAGACAGACATGGCTAGATCGACTCTCCTGGTGATGCTGATCAAGAATATATATACTAATGTGCACATTATATTATACTTAATTCACTAATATCAGAACATGAAACAAACAACTAAACAACTCTTTTTAATCTAGATATGGAAACTGTGGCGAAGAAGATGAATTAATTAATAAACCCCATTTATAATTTTCAAACAAATATTAAACAATTATTTATAATTAAAGCCCATCTTAGGCAAAATTAATAAACTAGATAAGAAACTGGACTTGATTACAAAATAGCTCGTTTGCAACACTGTGGAAATAATTGCTCTTCGAACCGAGTTTTCATAAAGCGATGCCTCTTTGAGCCTTTTAACTCGAAGAACTGATGAGCTTCGAGGAAAGTTTGAAGGAGGAGAGTTTCTTTAAAAACGTGGCAAGTATTTTAAATGCAGCTCACGAGATAATAATGATGTCAGTTAAACCCAGGAACGCGCTTTTGCTCCGGAAAGATCAAAACTGCTGATGGAAATCTGTGTCATGTAGTGGGTCATGGGTTCACTTAACCCATCAAATTCTTTCTCATACCAGCATTAAAGCAGGGTGCATATTTAGGAATGGATTTTTGGACAAGTTTTGGTCAAGGCGATCAGATTTTGAGTTCAAATGTATCGGAATTAGACGTAGGGGACTCAGACAATGAATCGGACTCGCCTATAATGCCCAAACTTTCGTCGGGACAACAGCAACGGTCTTTCCGTCTTGTAAAGATGAAGGTTTGGGAAGGACTAGTGTTATTTCGCATTCAATAGATGAAGATTACGAAGAATTGGCCAGTGTCACCAGCTCGAGAGAAATTAATGTTTAAATAGATAGATAATATGTTAGCTTAGGGGTTATCAAACCTTACAACTGTCCTTGGAATAGCAATTGTGTTTTGGTAGAATAGGAAGGTAAAGTTCGATTATGTTTAGACTGGAGAGAGCTTAATAAACACACTTGCACGGACGCGTACCCTTTACCTCATATAGAAGGTATATTGAGTAGGTTGCCTCCGATTCGGTTTATAAGCAGATTGGAACTAAAACAAACATTCTGGCAAATTCCTCTAGAGGAAAAATCACGCCAGTATACTGCCTTTACTATCCCTAACAGGCCATTTTACCAGTATGTGGTGATGCCTTTCGGTTTAACTAATGCGCCCCAGACGATGTGCAGACTTATGGATCAGGTCAATCCACCAGAATTGCGTAACCGAGTTTTCATGTATCTAGAAGATTTACTCGTGATGTCAGATGATTTCGATTCCCATTTGCTCTCGTTACAAGAAATCGCTCTTTGCCTTGGAATGGCAAAAATATCGATTAATGTGAAGAAGTCTAGTTTTTGCATGAGGGAAATAAAGTATTTAGGTTTTATAATTCGCGACGGTCAGATCAAAACATCTTCTCAGATCATTTAAGCTATAAATAACTTTCCTGTCCCAGTCATTGTAAAGCTGTTAAGGCGCTTTCTCGGCTCAACTGGATGGTACCGCCGTTCTGTAGAAAATTAATCCTAATTAAGCATTCCCTTGACAGAGTTGTTAAAAAAGCAGAAATCCTCGTTTGTACGGACGGAGGATGCCCTTATCGCTTTCAAAAAATGGAAAAAGCGATTAACCTCCGCTCCAATCTTGTCCACTCCGAATTTCGACCAATGATTTATCTTACTGTGTGACGCAAGTTCGTACGGACTTGGTTGTGTCCTTTCACAAGAAAATGATTAAAGTATAGAAATGTCCATAGCATTTATGTCCTCAAAGTTAACCAAAGCACAATGAAACTATTCCGTTACGGAATTAGAATGTTTGGCAGTTTTGAAAGGCATAAAGAAATTTCGTCCTTACATCGGTCAGGAATTTTTAGTTTTCACAGATAATGCCTCGGTGCAGTGGCTTATGCGTCAGAAAGGTCTCTCTGAACGATTAGCTCGCTGGTCTATTCAATTGCAAGGGTTTGTTTTTCAAATTGAACATAGGATCACCGAATGTTGTACCTGATACCCTCTGCAGGCAGGACGAGCCATCAGTGGACGAATTTGTGGATCATAGATCTATCTTCCAATCATTGATCTATCTTCTGAAGCTTTTCGTAGTGCTGAGTATATGGACATAATCGACCGAATTCAAAAGAATAAGGCTATTTTACCGGATTTTAAAGTAATTGAATTTAAAAATTACACATTACAATCAGAAAGTTAAACAAAGAAGCTCTGAACCTATATGAAAGCCATGTTAAAGAACCAAAAGAAATTCAAACGTTTTCTAACGTCATTGAATTTTTGGAGCAGCGGTTATGTACAATTAGCTCAATTCAGCATGAAAAGCCTGGAAAAAATATATTTAGTTGCAATGTAAGAACATTTTTTACTAACAATTATCCTATTAGCAAAGACATGGAACAAAACATTTTCCCATGCACAATTGTTTTTTAAATGTTTAAAGCTTTTCGGTTTGAAAAAAAAACCATCGTTACATGCTATACATGATTTATAAAAAAATAATAAAAAAGAAAAAGTCAACGCTTGCATGACAACGATTCGCAAAACACAACTATTTCGAAAAAATTTGCAAAGATTTTAAAATTACCGAAAATTTGATCTTAATCGGAGATCAGTGGAGTGTCTTCCACAGGAAAGTGCATATTGAGGCACAAGGTAACGCTTTCAATAAAAAGCAATAATTGCCAGAAGGATTTAACAATGGAAGCACTAGTACTTTCAAAGTTAGCGGGAATCTTATCAAGTAAAATTTCCAATTTTGTCTGTCCAATTTGTCTGAGAATTTAGTTCTGCAAGGATAAAGAATAGGTACAGACTTTAAGTGTTGGCAACTGTAATTATAATCATTTTAACTGTATATTTTATAGGAATAATAAATGTACGAAGGCAATTACAAGCCATAGCCAAACCTAGAGGTATGCTCGATATTAGAACATATAAATACTATTGTAATACATAAACTAATATGAAATTGTAATTAAAGTCAAGCAAGATTTGTTACTCAAACAAGATATGGGTGGAGTTCTTAGTCATTTAGTACAGTACTTGAACTAACAAATGTTATCGCCTAAGATGTGTCTCACACACACACAGTAAATCTGCAGCTCAGGCAAATTGATGCGGCCTCTGCGTTGGTCATAGATAAGTGTTGAATACGAAGCTTGGAAACAATATTTGGAAAAAAAAACAGTTTCAATTCAGAACTCAAAGTAAAAGGTTGTTTCATTTATTTGGCATCCCTAACAGCAGACATTTCGGTTAACATTTGATTTAATAATTTCGTAAAACAACTTACCTTATTATATAAGTAAACAATGCTTACATTAAATTCCCACTGTCTAAAACATATTCCCTTGCCTACGGCTCTTTAGAGACGATAACCTCTTTTCCGTTTGAAAATTTTCTTGGACAATTGAAAATAACGGTACACAAGAAAGGAAGCAAAAATTTGTATTTTTTTCATATATCTTTTCGAATATTCCGATTGTTTCATAGGAGCTGAGCTATATGAAATAGTCGGCCCATTTTTTTTTTTATCAATTTTAAGCCCTTATTCTAAAAAACAAATACATATATATGTATATCGATAAACTACAAAATATATACTACAAAAATATAAAAAAAACAGCAAAGTTATGATTTGAATTTTTTTCCGATTGTTCCTATGGGAACTATATGTTATAGTCTTCCGATCCGGCTCGTTCCGACTTATTTACTACCTGCAATGGGAAGACAACTTCTGGAAAAGTTGCATGCAGATGTTTAAAAACTGAGACACAAGTTTGCGTAGAAACGGACGGACGGACAGACAGACATGGCTAGATCGACTCTCCTGGTGATGCTGATCAAGAATATATATACTGATGTGCACATTATATTATACTTAATTCACTAATATCAGAACATGAAACAAACAACTAAACAACTCTTTTTAATCTGGATATGGAAACTGTGGCGAAGAAGATGAATTAATTAATAAACCCCATTTATAATTTTCAAACAAATATTAAACAATTATTTATAATTAAAGCCCATCTTAGGCAAAATTAATAAACTAGATAAGAAACTGGACTTGATTACAAAATAGCTCGTTTGCAACACTGTGGAAATAGTTGCTCTTCGAACCGAGTTTTCATATATAAGGGCAAAAGTTTGTGGAGAGACTAGCAAGCGGAAAAAAGCGATGCCTCTTTGAGCCTTTTAACTCGAAGAACTGATGAGCTTCGAGGAAAGTTTGAAGGAGGAGAGTTTCTTTAAAAACGTGGCAAGTATTTTAAATGCAGCTCACGAGATAATAATGATGTCAGTTAAACCCAGAAACGCGCTTTTGCTCCGGAAAGATCAAAACTGCTGATGGAAATCTGTGTCATGTAGTGGGTCATGGGTTCACTTAACCCATCAAATTCTTTCTCATACCAGCATTAAAGCAGGGTGCATATTTAGGAATGGATTTTTGGACAAGTTTTGGTCAAGGCGATCAGATTTTGAGTTCAAATGTATCGGAATTAGACGTAGGGGACTCAGACAATGAATCGGACTCGCCTATAATGCCCAAACTTTCGTCGGGACAACAGCAACGGTCTTTCCGTCTTGTAAAGATGAAGGTTTGGGAAGGACTAGTGTTATTTCGCATTCAATAGATGAAGATTACGAAGAATTGGCCAGTGTCACCAGCTCGAGAGAAATTAATGTTTAAATAGATAGATAATATGTTAGCTTAGGGGTTATCAAACCTTACAACTGTCCTTGGAATAGCAATTGTGTTTTGGTAGAATAGGAAGGTAAAGTTCGATTATGTTTAGACTGGAGAGAGCTTAATAAACACACTTGCACGGACGCGTACCCTTTACCTCATATAGAAGGTATATTGAGTAGGTTGCCTCCGATTCGGTTTATAAGCAGATTGGAACTAAAACAAACATTCTGGCAAATTCCTCTAGAGGAAAAATCACGCCAGTATACTGCCTTTACTATCCCTAACAGGCCATTTTACCAGTATGTGGTGATGCCTTTCGGTTTAACTAATGCGCCCCAGACGATGTGCAGACTTATGGATCAGGTCAATCCACCAGAATTGCGTAACCGAGTTTTCATGTATCTAGAAGATTTACTCGTGATGTCAGATGATTTCGATTCCCATTTGCTCTCGTTACAAGAAATCGCTCTTTGCCTTGGAATGGCAAAAATATCGATTAATGTGAAGAAGTCTAGTTTTTGCATGAGGGAAATAAAATATTTAGGTTTTATAATTCGCGACGGTCAGATCAAAACATCTTCTCAGATCATTTAAGCTATAAATAACTTTCCTGTCCCAGTCATTGTAAAGCTGTTAAGGCGCTTTCTCGGCTCAACTGGATGGTACCGCCGTTCTGTAGAAAATTAATCCTAATTAAGCATTCCCTTGACAGAGTTGTTAAAAAAGCAGAAATCCTCGTTTGTACGGACGGAGGATGCCCTTATCGCTTTCAAAAAATGGAAAAAGCGATTAACCTCCGCTCCAATCTTGTCCACTCCGAATTTCGACCAATGATTTATCTTACTGTGTGACGCAAGTTCGTACGGACTTGGTTGTGTCCTTTCACAAGAAAATGATTAAAGTATAGAAATGTCCATAGCATTTATGTCCTCAAAGTTAACCAAAGCACAATGAAACTATTCCGTTACGGAATTAGAATGTTTGGCAGTTTTGAAAGGCATAGAGAAATTTCGTCCTTACATCGGTCAGGAATTTTTAGTTTTCACAGATAATGCCTCGGTGCAGTGGCTTATGCGTCAGAAAGGTCTCTCTGAACGATTATCTCGCTGGTCTATTCAATTGCAAGGGTTTGTTTTTCAAATTGAACATAGGATCACCGAATGTTGTACCTGATACCCTCTGCAGGCAGGACGAGCCATCAGTGGACGAATTTGTGGATCATAGATCTATCTTCCAATCATTGATCTATCTTCTGAAGCTTTTCGTAGTGCTGAGTATATGGACATAATCGACCGAATTCAAAAGAATAAGGCTATTTTACCGGATTTTAAAGTAATTGAATTTAAAAATTACACATTACAATCAGAAAGTTAAACAAAGAAGCTCTGAACCTATATGAAAGCCATGTTAAAGAACCAAAAGAAATTCAAACGTTTTCTAACGTCATTGAATTTTTGGAGCAGCGGTTATGTACAATTAGCTCAATTCAGCATGAAAAGCCTGGAAAAAATATATTTAGTTGCAATGTAAGAACATTTTTTACTAACAATTATCCTATTAGCAAAGACATGGAACAAAACATTTTCCCATGCACAATTGTTTTTTAAATGTTTAAAGCTTTTCGGTTTGAAAAAAAAACCATCGTTACATGCTATACATGATTTATAAAAAAATAATAAAAAAGAAAAAGTCAACGCTTGCATGACAACGATTCGCAAAACACAACTATTTCGAAAAAATTTGCAAAGATTTTAAAATTACCGAAAATTTGATCTTAATCGGAGATCAGTGGAGTGTCTTCCACAGGAAAGTGCATATTGAGGCACAAGGTAACGCTTTCAATAAAAAGCAATAATTGCCAGAAGGATTTAACAATGGAAGCACTAGTACTTTCAAAGTTAGCGGGAATCTTATCAAGTAAAATTTCCAATTTTGTCTGTCCAATTTGTCTGAGAATTTAGTTCTGCAAGGATAAAGAATAGGTACAGACTTTAAGTGTTGGCAACTGTAATTATAATCATTTTAACTGTATATTTTATAGGAATAATAAATGTACGAAGGCAATTACAAGCCATAGCCAAACCTAGCGGTATGCTCGATATTAGAACATATAAATACTATTGTAATACATAAACTAATATGAAATTGTAATTAAAGTCAAGCAAGATTTGTTACTCAAACAAGATATGGGTGGAGTTCTTAGTCATTTAGTACAGTACTTGAACTAACAAATGTTATCGCCTAAGATGTGTCTCACACACACACAGTAAATCTGCAGCTCAGGCAAATTGATGCGGCCTCTGCGTTGGTCATAGATAAGTGTTGAATACGAAGCTTGGAAACAATATTTGGAAAAAAAACAGTTTCAATTCAGAACTCAAAGTAAAAGGTTGTTTCATTTATTTGGCATCCCTAACAGCAGACATTTCGGTTAACATTTGATTTAATAATTTCGTAAAACAACTTACCTCATTATATAAGTAAACAATGCTTACATTAAATTCCCACTGTCTAAAACATATTCCCTTGCCTACGGCTCTTTAGAGACGATAACCTCTTTTCCGTTTGAAAATTTTCTTGGACAATTGAAAATAACGGTACACAAGAAAGGAAGCAAAAATTTGTATTTTTTTATACCCTTGCAGAGGGTATTATAATTTCAGTCAGAAGTTTGCAACGCAGTGAAGGAGACGTTTCCGACCCTATAAAGTATATATATTCTTGATCAGCATCACTAGTAGAGTCGATCTAGCCATGTCCGTCTGTCCGTCCGTCTGTCCGTCTGTCCGTCTGTCCGTCCGTTTATATGCAAACTAGTCTCTCAGTTTTAAAGCTATCTGCATGAAACTTTCCCAAAAGTTGTCTTTCTATTGCAGGTAGTATATAAGTCGGAACGAGCCGGATCGGACGACTATAGCATATAGCTCCCATAGGAACAATCGGAAAAATAAATGAAAAAAAATTATAACTTTGCTGTTTTTTAATTTTTTGTTTAGTTCTTCGACATATAGTAATGGTTAAATATTTCCAATTTACGGTTTAAATTTCATCAAAATCGGTCGACTATAGCATATAGCTCCCATAGGAACAATCGGAAAAATAATTGAAAAAAAATTATAACTTTGCTGTTTTTTAATTTTTTGTTTAGTTCTTCGAGATATAGTAATGGTTAAATATATTTTAGAATTATGTTTTAAATTTCATCAAAATCGGACGACTATAGCATATAGCTCCCATAGGAACAATCGGAAAAATAAATGAAAAAAAATTATAACTTTTCTGTTTTTTAATTTTTTGTTTAGTTCTTCGACATATAGCAATGTTTAATTATTTCAGAATTATGGTTTAAATTTTATCAAAATCGGACGTCTATATCATATAGCTCCCATAGAAATAATAAAAATATATAAAATAACTATATAATAATTGAGCTGCAAATCATCATAGTTTCAATGTTTTTTAGCATATACTCAAGTAAATCATAATTTAAATGTTTTCAAAAGTATTTAATTCATGCAATAGCTGCAAGGGTATATGAACTTCGGCTTGCCGAAGTTTGCTTTCTTTCTTGTTCATATATCTTTTCGAATATTCCGATTGTTTCATAGGAGCTGAGCTATATGAAATAGTCGGCCCATTTTTTTTTTATCAATTTTAAGCCCTTATTCTAAAAAACAAATACATATATATGTATATCGATAAACTACAAAATATATACTACAAAAATATAAAAAAAAACAGCAAAGTTATGATTTGAATTTTTTTCCGATTGTTCCTATGGGAACTATATGTTATAGTCTTCCGATCCGGCTCGTTCCGACTTATTTACTACCTGCAATGGGAAGACAACTTCTGGAAAAGTTGCATGCAGATGATTAAAAACTGAGACACAAGTTTGCGTAGAAACGGACGGACGGACAGACAGACATGGCTAGATCGACTCTCCTGGTGATGCTGATCAAGAATATATATACTGATGTGCACATTATATTATACTTAATTCACTAATATCAGAACATGAAACAAACAACTAAACAACTCTTTTTAATCTGGATATGGAAACTGTGGCGAAGAAGATGAATTAATTAATAAACCCCATTTATAATTTTCAAACAAATATTAAACAATTATTTATAATTAAAGCCCATCTTAGGCAAAATTAATAAACTAGATAAGAAACTGGACTTGATTACAAAATAGCTCGTTTGCAACACTGTGGAAATAGTTGCTCTTCGAACCGAGTTTTCATATATAAGGGCAAAAGTTTGTGGAGAGACTAGCAAGCGGAAAAAAGCGATGCCTCTTTGAGCCTTTTAACTCGAAGAACTGATGAGCTTCGAGGAAAGTTTGAAGGAGGAGAGTTTCTTTAAAAACGTGGCAAGTATTTTAAATGCAGCTCACGAGATAATAATGATGTCAGTTAAACCCAGGAACGCGCTTTTGCTCCGGAAAGATCAAAACTGCTGATGGAAATCTGTGTCATGTAGTGGGTCATGGGTTCACTTAACCCATCAAATTCTTTCTCATACCAGCATTAAAGCAGGGTGCATATTTAGGAATGGATTTTTGGACAAGTTTTGGTCAAGGCGATCAGATTTTGAGTTCAAATGTATCGGAATTAGACGTAGGGGACTCAGACAATGAATCGGACTCGCCTATAATGCCCAAACTTTCGTCGGGACAACAGCAACGGTCTTTCCGTCTTGTAAAGATGAAGGTTTGGGAAGGACTAGTGTTATTTCGCATTCAATAGATGAAGATTACGAAGAATTGGCCAGTGTCACCAGCTCGAGAGAAATTAATGTTTAAATAGATAGATAATATGTTAGCTTAGGGGTTATCAAACCTTACAACTGTCCTTGGAATAGCAATTGTGTTTTGGTAGAATAGGAAGGTAAAGTTCGATTATGTTTAGACTGGAGAGAGCTTAATAAACACACTTGCACGGACGCGTACCCTTTACCTCATATAGAAGGTATATTGAGTAGGTTGCCTCCGATTCGGTTTATAAGCAGATTGGAACTAAAACAAACATTCTGGCAAATTCCTCTAGAGGAAAAATTACGCCAGTATACTGCCTTTACTATCCCTAACAGGCCATTTTACCAGTATGTGGTGATGCCTTTCGGTTTAACTAATGCGCCCCAGACGATGTGCAGACTTATGGATCAGGTCAATCCACCAGAATTGCGTAACCGAGTTTTCATGTATCTAGAAGATTTACTCGTGATGTCAGATGATTTCGATTCCCATTTGCTCTCGTTACAAGAAATCGCTCTTTGCCTTGGAATGGCAAAAATATCGATTAATGTGAAGAAGTCTAGTTTTTGCATGAGGGAAATTAAGTATTTAGGTTTTATAATTCGCGACGGTCAGATCAAGACATCTTCTCAGATCATTTAAGCTATAAATAACTTTCCTGTCCCAGTCATTGTAAAGCTGTTAAGGCGCTTTCTCGGCTCAACTGGATGGTACCGCCGTTCTGTAGAAAATTAATCCTAATTAAGCATTCCCTTGACAGAGTTGTTAAAAAAGCAGAAATCCTCGTTTGTACGGACGGAGGATGCCCTTATCGCTTTCAAAAAATGGAAAAAGCGATTAACCTCCGCTCCAATCTTGTCCACTCCGAATTTCGACCAATGATTTATCTTACTGTGTGACGCAAGTTCGTACGGACTTGGTTGTGTCCTTTCACAAGAAAATGATTAAAGTATAGAAATGTCCATAGCATTTATGTCCTCAAAGTTAACCAAAGCACAATGAAACTATTCCGTTACGGAATTAGAATGTTTGGCAGTTTTGAAAGGCATAGAGAAATTTCGTCCTTACATCGGTCAGAAATTTTTAGTTTTCACAGATAATGCCTCGGTGCAGTGGCTTATGCGTCAGAAAGGTCTCTCTGAACGATTAGCTCGCTGGTCTATTCAATTGCAAGGGTTTGTTTTTCAAATTGAACATAGGATCACCGAATGTTGTACCTGATACCCTCTGCAGGCAGGACGAGCCATCAGTGGACGAATTTGTGGATCATAGATCTATCTTCCAATCATTGATCTATCTTCTGAAGGTTTTCGTAGTGCTGAGTATATGGACATAATCGACCGAATTCAAAAGAATAAGGCTATTTTACCGGATTTTAAAGTAATTGAATTTAAAAATTACACATTACAATCAGAAAGTTAAACAAAGAAGCTCTGAACCTATATGAAAGCCATGTTAAAGAACCAAAAGAAATTCAAACGTTTTCTAACGTCATTGAATTTTTGGAGCAGCGGTTATGTACAATTAGCTCAATTCAGCATGAAAAGCCTGGAAAAAATATATTTAGTTGCAATGTAAGAACATTTTTTACTAACAATTATCCTATTAGCAAAGACATGGAACAAAACATTTTCCCATGCACAATTGTTTTTTAAATGCTTAAAGCTTTTCGGTTTGAAAAAAAAATCATCGTTACATGCTATACATGATTTATAAAAAAATAATAAAAAAGAAAAAGTCAACGCTGGCATGACAACGATTCGCAAAACACAACTACTTCGAAAAAATTTGCAAAGATTTTAAAATTACCGAAAATTTGATCTTAATCGGAGATCAGTGGAGTGTCTTCCACAGGAAAGTGCATATTGAGGCACAAGGTAACGCTTTCAATAAAAAGCAATAATTGCCAGAAGGATTTAACAATGGAAGCACTAGTACTTTCAAAGTTAGCGGGAATCTTATCAAGTAAAATTTCCAATTTTGTCTGTCCAATTTGTCTGAGAATTTAGTTCTGCAAGGATAAAGAATAGGTACAGACTTTAAGTGTTGGCAATTGTAATTATAATCATTTTAACTGTATATTTTATAGGAATAATAAATGTACGAAGGCAATTACAAGCCATAGCCAAACCTAGCGGTATGCTCGATATTAGAACATATAAATACTATTGTAATACATAAACTAATATGAAATTGTAATTAAAGTCAAGCAAGATTTGTTACTCAAACAAGATATGGGTGGAGTTCTTAGTCATTTAGTACAGTACTTGAACTAACAAATGTTATCGCCTAAGATGTGTCTCACACACACACAGTAAATCTGCAGCTCAGGCAAATTGATGCGGCCTCTGCGTTGGTCATAGATAAGTGTTGAATACGAAGCTTGGAAACAATATTTGGAAAAAAAAAACAGTTTCAATTCAGAACTCAAAGTAAAAGGTTGTTTCATTTATTTGGCATCCCTAACAGCAGACATTTCGGTTAACATTTGATTTTATAATTTTCGTCTTGGAACTTTCAAAACATTTTCGCAATAGTAAGGGTGTACGACGTTGTCCTTGCTCAAAGAGGAGAAACAATATATTTCAAAATGCCATTTTAACGCAAGAGCAGGAAATATATATGCGAATCGAAGCATAATAACAAAAGTACATTCACTACTAAAAATCTTGAATAGACTGGAGCAGACTTTTGTGCTCCAGAGCAATGTTGTGATGATGTTCCTAATAGTTTCAATGATTTAGTGAGAGAGAGTGAGAATTCCAAATAAAAAAGTTTCAAATCTCGCCTAGCGCAGTGTATTTCTGAATATAATATTAGCAAAAGACTATATAATGATTTGCTTCTGTTGTTGTCCGAAAAATTCAGGATTGGCAAGAGATGTTCGAAATTTAAAATGCACAGGAAGCAAGGTTTACTACAATGTAACAGAGGCGCTGATTTTCTTAACAATATTGGTTATTAATCTGATAGCCTGAGCCTGAACAATGATGTGGACGGAGTTCCGTCCAAAAACATGTCATTGACACAAAGACATTTCTTGTAGCTGGGATTTAAGTTGGTAATTCCAAGCCTAGCGATCCCAATTTTTATTTAGCATAATTCGTAGGCGAGCTTTTAGAATTAAATAGGGATGGAATAATATTTCAAGGTGGAGATCTTGACTTTAGCATTAGGTCTATCGATGCAGCAGCACGTTTATATATTTTGGGTGTTAAGCATCACTCTGAATTTTATGCTTTCAACAATTGCAATTAAAAGGGAGAAAGTTTTCAAAGGCGAATGTTTTTTTAAATTTCAGAGAACGTCTTTCGAACAGATTACAGTTTTCGAAACCGCTTTTAGAAAACTGGGTAATTGACTTGAATAACAATGTTTCCCTTTGGCTACTACTAGTGGCTTTTGGGTAAAGGTCATCAATTATCTTTAAATCTGCGGACAATCAGTTCAATAAGTTACAAATTGATTTCGTTTCGAACATTTATTCCTAGAGAATACAATAAATGCCGAGATCTCATGATGATCTTGAAAGATTTAAGGCAACTGAATTGAACATTGAATTGTGTGTACTGGACCCTAAAGAAATCCAAGCACAACCAGATAAAACCCCTTTTTTTATCACTTATCCTTTGCATGCGACTGCTTCTTCACACAGAATAGTATTATATATATATATTATATTATCTCCTCAAAAGCACAATTCTTCCCGTTTTCTTAATGATTTCGTAGAACAACTTACCTCATTATATACTGTCTAACACATATTACCTTGCCTTCGGCTCTTTAGAGACGATAACCTCTTTTCCGTTTGAAAATTTTCTTGGACAATTGAAAATAACGGTACACAAGAAAGGAAGCAAAAATTTGTATTTTTTCATATATCTTTTCGACTATTCCGATTGTTTCATAGGAGCAGAGCTATATGAAATAGTTGGCCCATTTTTTTTTATCCATTTTAAGCCCTAATTCTAAAATAACAAATACCTATATATGTATATCGATAAACTACAAAATATGATTTGAATTTTTTTCCGATTGTTCCTATGGGAGCTATATGTTATAGTCTTCCGATCCGGCTCGTTCCGACTTATTTACTACCTGCAATGGGAAGACAACTTCTGGAAAAAAAACTGAGACACAAGTTTGCGTAGAAACCGACGGACGGACAGACGGACATGGCTAGATCAACTCTCCTGGTGATGCTGATCAAGAATATATATACTGATGTGCACATTATATTATACTTAATTCACTAATATCAGAACATGAAACAAACAACTAAACAACACTTTTTAATCTGGATATGGAAATTGTGGCGAAGAAGATGAATTATTCAATAAACCCCATTTATAATTTTCAAACAAATATTAAACAATTATTTATAATTAAAGCCCATCTTAAACAAAATGAATAAACTAGATAAGAAACTGGACTTGATTACAAAATAGCTCGTTTGCAACACTGTGGAAATAGTTGCTCTTTGAACCGAGTTTTCATATATAAGGGAAAAAGTTTGTGGAGAGATTAGCAAGCGAAAATAAGCGATGCCTCTTTGAGCCTTTTAACTCGAAGAACTGATGAGCTTCGAGGAAAGTTTGAAGGAGGAGAGTTTCTTTAAAAACGTGGCAAGTATTTTTAATGCAGCTCACGAGATAATAATGATGTCAAACGAGAAACCGTACGACAAATGGATAAGGAGCTCCTGGCCCTCAATAGTGTACGACGAGATCGCATGACAGGTTCCTCGCGTGGAATATACGACAAAACATGTGTTAGGGGCTTACGGGTTACCGTAGCAACCCGTAGCATGTTTTTTGTATATGAATACTTATATAAACAATAGTTAGTTATAAAATAAATATAGCGGGATTAAATTATCTTTAGGTAACGCCAATTTCGACAGGGTAACAGAAAAGCTCATCCAAATTTTTTAAAATTTTATTTTTAATTAATTTTGAACAAAATTTTATTAGTTTGTAATTTGTATCCTTATCCAGTGTTATTTATATCCATTAAATTCATGAAAAAAATCTCGTTACATTACAAAATAATCAAAAAATATAAAAACAAATACAAATTTAAACATATTTTTAGTACAGGGATAAAATAAAATGGAACTCCTGAAGGTATCGCAGAAGATATTTTTGCGAGCATTTGATGATATTATGGCAAGCGGGTTTCAATATCAATAACAAGACCAAATACATATTGTTTTTTAATTTTTTTGTAATATTAATCAATTATTTGTTGAGTTTTATATTCAGCTCTACAAATAATGATATTTCTGTGAGTTTTATTTTCATTATTTTATTTTATTTTTAATCGAAAAACGACACTCGTTACACATTTAAGTCTTGCTTATTATACCTTCTTTCACCGTCCGTTGAATGGATAGTCCAGAAGGTTTAGCCGTTTCAAAAATTTTTCAGTAAGTCCGCCGTTAAAACTCTACGGACTTTGACGTACTTATTTATTCGATAGCTAGCCTTTTTTTAGAAATCTCTTCCCAATCCCTCTTTCCACTCAGTTCATCCGTTGAACACGGCAGAAATTTTTCGAAAAAAAAAGTGAAACTCAGATTTCCACAGAGCACATCCACCACATCCACAATAACAGCTGATTTGAACAGCTGTGACTCATTCAAACATAAAAAATATGGTTAACATTGGATTGGATTTGGATTTGGATTTCTTTATGTCATGGGAGCAACAGCTGTTCAAATAGGAGGGTGAATGTGCTCTGTGGCAATCGGAGTTTCACATTTGTCAAAAATTCCAGCAGTTTCAACCGTATGGACTGTGTTGAATGAGGACATAACTATCATTTATAGTCCACCATCACACAGACTGGTGTTTCCACAGAGCCACCATCCACCAGTCATCAAAAGTCACAATGGCGTATGCAGAATTTTTGAGGGGGCCTTAAACTGTTTCAAACTCTGTAAGAAGTACCTTTTCCTGCTTTTATTTTATTTAAACGCTATAGATTAGTGGTTAAATAGATATAGCCCAGTCCCACAGAGCACATCCAAGTGTAACGGTAGATTTTTGATGGATGGTGGACAGGTGTTCCCACAGAGCATCCACACACCATCCGCCATTTATAAAAAGTCACAGCGGCGTCTTTAACTCTATAAACTCTTTTCGAAGTACTGCTTTCATTTTATTTTACTGCTTTGGATTAGTGGTGAAATGGTTATCTGAACTTAAGTAGTGACCTAATCTCTGAATTCAACTTGCTGCCTGGAGGAGCGTTGACCTCCCAGGCCCCTCTTCCCTATCAACTACGCCTCCGGTTAACAGAAACAAAGATGGTCGCCATGTCAATTCAAATTCAATTGTGCCAAGACTTAAGCGTTGCACCGAAAAAACAGAAACAAAGATGGCCAAGACTTAAGATTTGCACCGAAAAAACAGCGTCTAAATATTGGTCAGAAACGTTCGGTTAGGAACGTAAATTCCACCGACAAGGAAAGACCGGGAAATTAACGGACCATCTTTGAAAGAGATGATGGATGGAAGGACTAGGCCATTACGACTTTGTTTACCAATTGTTGGTCCACTGGGTTGCGCCAATGGAATCAGGCTATTACGTTTTGTAATTATAACAGATTTACGTTTTGTAATTATAACAGGCCAAACAACATAACAAATTCTATTGTTCCTCAATCACCTCAAATATTCTCTTCCCACACACTCCATTCGTGGGAAACAGTTGGGATTTTTGAGAAGTTGGTAGAAATCTGTCCAAAGGGCCAACTCAAATTCGAAAGTCCGATTTTCATGGACCTTTTTGGCTGGGTTCGCAAGAAAATGACATTTGAACGGTTTTAAGAAAAAGTTTTACGGAAGTACACAGGCCTTTAAAAAGCTCATTTAGTTCCCTTTTTTCAAAAAGTAACACTTTTTAAATGACTCCTGAGTGCTGAGAGGTATTTTTTTGACCTTTTCAGCTATTTATGCTTAAATATAATTCCTTTTTACAAAAAGATGTTAAATACAGATTTCTTGCCGATCTTAAAATTAACATTAGCTAATTTTAAATATAATGCAATATCATAAAGATATTTATATAAAAATACGCGGTAATTTTGTAAAATAAAAAGTGACCTTAATTTACCTGTTGAGTTCCTGTAACATGCGTAAAACTTGGAATATCTCAAAACCGTCCAAATTGTATTATTTTTTTTAACCTAGTTTTATGAAAATCTGACCATTGAATTTGAGTTGAACCAACTAGCAGATTATTACCAAGATGTGAAACTCCGAGTCCCACAGATCACAACCACCATCAGCCTTCCGATAACAGTTGATCAAAACAGACTAATATTAATAATTTATCAACCGACTTAGCTGTTATACAACAGCAAAAGCTCAGGTTGTAGCAGATTTTATTAGCAGTAAATTTAAAGGAGTTGAATGATGATTATAAATATATTAATTAATTAAGATGTTTACCGTGTTGCGTCGGCGCCTCCGTTTTGATCATATTTACGTAGTGTGTGCTCAAATTTGCATTGTCAAGATGAAAATTTTTTTGTTGCACCGAAAAAACATAGTTTATAGCCAATTTACATTACTGTATTTTTGATTGGAACGAAGAGGAGACGGTGACAAAGCGAAACTCCAATTCACACTGCCACAAGACGTGGCAGACGGTGGCAGTTTGAATTGAAAAAGTGAAACTTCAATTCACACTGCCACCAGACGTTGCGGTAGACGGTGGCAGTGTGAATTGAAGTTTCACTTTTTCACCATTCTCTCATTGTTACCCCAAAATATGCTGTAATTATTAAATTAAAATTTTCTCGTTATTTAGGCCCGTCATTTAAAAATTGTATATGCAACATATTGAGAAATTAAATATCTATTGAAATATGTTTGATCTAAGAATATTAGACGCCTGAAAGTTTTTAAAATATGCATTTGAAAAATGCATAATATCGACGCAGTCCTACTCGACGCGGTTTGGTCTTTTGCGTTCGCGTTTTTTTGAGCGCTCCACATAGCCCCTCGCGACCACTTCGTCAACAACCTCCTCCCTGCCTCGTGTTCCTTATTCATAAAAACAATTTATTTCTGAGACATCTGTCTACTTAATGGACTTTTAATAATGTATAAATAAGGCTCCTTTTAATAAGAAATAAGAAAGCCATATTAATTAAAATAAAAGTAAGCGTCGAAAATTGTGCGTTTTTATAAGGATATTGTGGTGAGCAGTTGGCAAAATTGGGGAGACCCGATTTTTCAAATGCATATTTTAAAAACTTTGAGACGTCTAATTTTTTTAGATCACATATATGTCGTTAGATATTTTATTTCTTAATACTTTCGCATTTACAATTTTTAAATTACTTGCTATATAACGATAAATTTAAAAACGAAAACAGCCCCCTTGTTCCAAGTTCCATTGTTTCCCGATCGCCGCTAACTCACCGACGCTAATTTGACGCACGTTATTACTATTGCATACATAATTCCGTCAAATGTGAATGGCGGACCAAATGGGAAATTTTCGGAACGGCAATATTTTATGAACCATCCGTTTAACGAATGAATCTCTGTGGGAAGTGGGTATAAGTCACCAAAGTCAATTTGACTAAAATCTTTTAATGGTATGCTCACGGCATCCTAAAATTAATTAAAATTATATAGATGGTGAATTTTTTATAAGCACACATCTTTTTTTATTTTCCACACGGTCACACTGCTTCAAAGAAATAATAATGAGGCGTTATAATAATTTAGTAACTCTTTTCACGGCCATAACTGCCTTTTTTTTTGGAAGTTTTATCACGAAAATACTTAGTTCGGTAGACAAAAGTCCATCACACTGGAGCGAAGTATCAGACTTAAAATCGCATCCGAATCTGTTTCTCATGGTACTGGTGTTAAGTACACCACGCAGTGCTGAGCAGAGGAATGCCATGCGGAAAACCTGGCTCCAAACTGCAAAGAAGTCCATTCAGCAGCCTTATTACCCCGAAGAGCTTATCTATCTTCCAACCTACGGCCCCAATGGCCTCCTGCAGTTGGAGTTAGTTGATCAGCAGGCGAATCGCCTGAAACAGTATATGGACTGGCAGAAAAGTCTCCTGACTAGAATCCCTCTATTGGCGCACAGGCAGATTAAAGTTAAGCACCTGTTTGCCATTGGCACTATCAAGATAAGCAGCTCCCTGGAGGCGGAGCTCCTAAGAGAGCAGAATCAACATAACGACCTTCTGCTGCTGCAACGCCACCATGACACATACGGCAGTCTTACAGAGAAGCTGCTGCAGGCCCTTAAAACTTTAATACACAACTATGAATTCTCATATATCATCAAAGTGGATGACGATACCTACGTTAAGCTGGACAGCTTACTCAATGAGCTTGTTTCTTATGATCGAAAGTTACTTCGTAAAATATCCGAATATGGCCGTAATCCCATACCCCAGCTTTATTGGGGCTACTTTAATGGTCGAGCAAAAATAAAAGGGAAAGGCCATTGGAAAGAGACTAATTATTACCTAAGCAAAAACTATCTGCCCTATGCTCTTGGCGGAGGATACGTATTATCTCGAAAAATATGCGAATATATTGTCAATAGTTCGCAACTGCTAACGCCTTATGTGTCCGAGGATGTCTCTATAGGCACTTGGCTAGCTCCACTTCGTCACGTATATCGCTGGCACGACCCTAGATTTGACACAGCCTACATGCCTCGAAAATGTAAGCCATATCATATTGTTTTGCACAAACGAAGTCTAGAAATGATGACTGACATCTACCATGGCAAACTCTGCAGTGGCACCGTTTCGAGCTCATTACCCGAATACTATTACGATTGGACGAGAACAGCAGACAAATGTTGCGATAGTTTAGTAGTGTAGCCATGTCATGGAATTGTTAATAACCATAGAATAGAAATTATTATATTGGCTTACCTGTGCTTAATTAACCATTCTATCCGGTCGTCAGTTTCAATAAGACTAGCTACTACAATGTCCTTAGGGGCCACAATATAAAAACGATTCTCCTCGATTATACAACCCAAGCTATAATCGTTTACGGTGTACTCCTCATATCCACGCAACGTCAAACTGTCTGTGCAGATCTCCTCACTGCTGTTCATTTTGTACTCAATAACGCAAAGCACGGGACGTAAAGCTTTAAAATATGCGCTTCTTTCTTTGCGATAGCCAAGCACTACTAATTGGCTGGCGGTCAGAGGGGCAAGTCCACAGATGTAAAAAGTAGTTTGTAATGTCGAGACTGCAATTAAATAATAAATATTGAAGTTTAATAAGCAATTGTCAAAATTCATATCTCTCACCTGGATCAACAATGTAACCCGGAAGATTGCTACAAGAAGCTTCAGCTAAATTTCTTTTCCGAATAACACAAATTCGTATAGTGTCTACCCAGCCGATTAACAGAGTATGCTTGTTTGACCATCGCATGTGGCAGCGAAAGTGTTCTAGCCGCTCTTGGGAAGGTACCTCCCATTTCATTAATCCAAGCGAACATTTTTGATTTAAATCATACACACGGACTCCTAGGTGACTAGCCCAGGCAACAAAGATTCCATGCCAGCAAATGGTTAAAACATTGCCTTCGACTGAGCTAAGCTCAATTGGTTTAAGCTTCTTTAGAAGATTTCGTTCGTACAATATGAGTTTATTTTCACCTAAGGAAAACCCTTTTAAATATTAACGAACAGGAAATGCTGCATGTGTTTACCTACCTACAATGAATCGTCTAGTGTGAGTTGTAAAATCGGGGTCCATGGCCACAGCTTTTATAAATTTTCCGAAACTTAGATTCTGATTGTTCTCACAGCTGAACAAACCCGTTATGTTTACCTGTGGTATAAGAAGTTAGCCCGACTCAGCAGCACTAAGGCCAGAGACTCACTTTTCCGTCGTCTGAGCATGTGGCCACAAACTCGCCCTTGGTATCCACATCAATCTGGTTAACTGCTACTTGATGGTTGTGATGTTCTGTGTTGCTCAGATTCGAGTTGACAGAGTTTCCTTGGTGATCCAACAAGTGGACGCGTCCTCGAAAAGTGCCAAGTATAAGAAACTAGTTACATATAAGTAAAGTTGCAAAATTAAAGCTATTTAACCCCACCTTATAATGCACAGCTGCGCAAGTGACAACATCAGTGTTAAGTATATTTTTTAAATCGTTAGCAAGGCGTTGGTACTTAAATTTTGGCTCCACTTCCTCATCTTTGTTCTCGGTTCCAGAGCCCTTCAGAGTAAAAATATTGAATTATCATGCCTTTTCTGGCGCAAATTAAACTTACACAGCTTGTTTGTACATTTTCAGCCATTTTAAAGGTGTTACAGAATATTTAATTTTTTAATTAAAGAAACTTTAGACTATTTCATATATTCACATATTTATATATTTAATAAAATCTTCGTGGGCTATAGCTTCCTTACACTGATTCATTATTAGGTAATACCCTCTTTCCACACAGTCGATCCGTTGGAAACGGTTGGAATTGTCAACAAATGTGAAACTCCGACTTCCACAGAGCGCATCCACCTTCCGATTTCAGCTGATCTGAACAGCTGTGACTCGTCAAAACGTATGCAATGTCAACAGGTCAACCATTTTAATTTATGTTTTGATGAGCTACAGTTGTTAAGATCAATTGAAATCGGAAGTTGGAAGGATGATGTGCTATGTGGAGTTTCACTTTTTTCAAAAATAAAAACGTTTTTTAAGGATGGACTGCGATTGCCACCATCTACCGTCATCCGAGTGTTCAAAACAAAGTGAAATTTAACCAAAAATGGACAAATTTATTGAATTAGGCAAATATTTTGTCCAAAATAAAAAAAATAAAACACCAAAGTAATTGTCTACATTATACTACTTTTTGGTTGAATTGCCTATGTTTTGAGCACTCGGAAGAAGAAGACGTTTATGGTAGACGGTGTCCGTGTGAATTGGAGTTTCACTGTTTTATTGTCTCTCATAGTTCCCCCACAAAAATACACGAGATAACATATAGTTCAATGTTGACAGTGTATTTGTTTTGTTTGTTTTTTAAAAGGTTTCTGCAAATCAAAGTCTTTCACCTTCTTCACACAGCCCCTTGAAAGAATTGTAGCTCACACGCAATAGCAGCTGATTGGCTTTCGAGATGTAAACACCCATAAAAAGAAGCAGAAAATAACACAAAATCAATAAAATGGTTATCAACAACAGCTAAATACAATTTAGATATTTGCAAATGGAAAGTTTTTCGTATCTAAGAGAAGTAAGCCAATAAAAACCATCTACATAATAACCCGTTTCCACAAAGATCCATCACTTTTCCAACATCCGTTCCAACATACAAAAATTTGCCAGTTAGTCCGCCGTAAAAATTTAACGGAGTTTGACCGAATAATTTATGCGGTAGTTAGCCGATGTTTGTTCGGTGTGTTCCACACAGCCTTTCTAGAGAAAATTGAAGCTCTGGTTTCCACAGAGTACATCAACCATCCACCACGGATGGACTGTGTGGAAAGAGGGCATAAGTACCTCAAAAAAACTGATTTACAACAGAATTGCATCAACGAGTTGTACCATATTTACCACGTATCTTTCCAGCACATTTGTTTCTTGTGGATGAATAAGACGGTCTTGCGAAATTTTAGCGCTTTTGACGCCTCTGTGTATAGGCTTCTAAATCCGCTTCTTTATAGGTGGAATTGTCGTGAAGTGGTTAGTGTACATGTCTATGAGGCAAAAAAAAACTCCAGACAAGTTGTATAAGAATTATTGTATTTTATATACCATAACTTTTTTACTTATTAACTTGTTTACTTTTTTTTGTCTTCTTTGTTTCAATTTTGTTTGCCCTTGGGATTTATTTGTCATAAGCTTCCGAAAAGCCCCAACACCCGACCATTTTTAATTTTCAGGACCCATGCATTTTGGGGTCCTGATTACCGAATAAGTAGGTAAATGTTTGCGAAATGACCGATTTTTTAGAATCTAACGGTAAAATTATTATTATTTTATTTTTTGTTTATAAATCTTAAAGCATTAACTTTATCGAACGCTTGGGATATATCTATAAATAGGGAGCAGCAATATTCCCTGTGCTTGAAGGCCGCGTGTATTTTAGATGTTATGCGGATTGAACTGCTCGATCGTTCCATGCTTCTCTCTAAAACCAAACTGGTGGAGGGTGAACGAATAAGTGTTTTTAAGATGTGTTCGTTTATGTGATAAGATAAGTGTTTCGAACAGATTTGGCAGGCAAGGGAGGATGATTGGTCTATCAGGAAGACAGTTGAGTTTTACCTTTGCCTGGTTTGGGGATCTTTGTTTCCTATAACTGCATATTTAGGTAACTCGATTAAGATTTTGGGCGAAATAAAATCATAGACAGGAGCTTTTTTTAGTATCAGCTGTTCTTTAATGGTATTTTAAATTGTGAATTTTTGAACAGTAATTGGGAACGAAGGACCTACGATTAGGAAATTCGGAAAAATTGGTTCGTTGGCGGATGGGACTTAAAGACATTTTGTAAAAGAGAGGCAAAGATTGTAGCCATTCACCTGCTTGGGAATTTAATGGCAAGTCGGGTTCCATTGGTGGCTGTATGTCTGAGTGTGCTCTTTAGAGTTCTGGTCGCAGGTGGCAAAAAGCTGTTCTACATAGGCACGTTAAGCTTTGTTTAATTTTTTATATGTGCAGTCTTATGCTCAGCAACTCTTGCAAGGCCATCAGTTCCGAAGATTAGCTTGGTCACTTTAGCTAAAGGCCATCTAAGTGGGATGAGGTCTATATCAGCGAAGCAAGTCCAGGTTGATTAGACCTCTATTTTGACTTCTCCTGTAAAAGGGTGGGGTACTCTTCCTTTCAGCGGGACCAAAACAACTGTTGAAGATAAGAAACCCTTTGCTAACGATCAAGTCTATTGAATTAAAATGCAGTGACGTCTGGAACGGCCAAAGAATTGGGTGGAGTTGGAGCGGGGGTCAGCACATCCAAGTCGTCTGGATGCTCTGTAATTGAAATTAATGGTCATGATTACGATTGCAGTAATATGGCAAACTAATGTACATAAATCCTCAAAACTGATCACAGAACTGGAACTGGTTTATACCGCAGTCTCCCAAAGCCCACCAAAGTGCGGAAAGCAACGGAAAAATTCCACAAAAGTCTTGTACTGCCTTCTGATACTTATCGTTCATAAATAACTCCTTTAAGCGCCTAAGCTCGTTGCTGGCGTCCACAAAGTTTTTCGCGTTGTTCGACCATATTTCTCTGGGTCGACATCTTGTAGAAATAAGCCGCTGAAGAGCACTGAGGAAGGCAGAAGTATATAAATACTGCACCAGCTTCAGTTGTATGGCCTTCGTTGCAAAGCAAATAATCACACAAATGTAGCATTGGTAGGTGGCCTGATAAGAACTTCGCTTTGTAATAAAAAAGGGCCAAAGAAGTCTTCTCCAGTGATCTTAAGAGTGTACAATGAGTCATCCAATCTTTCCTTGGGGAGGTCTGCCATTATGTGGTGCAGTTGCTGCAGCTGATGCACTTGCTTACCACGCTCGCGACATTTCCGGCCGCCGATAGGCCAATACTGCTGATGAATTATTGCAAGCAAAGGTACGCTGTAATTTGTGGAAAGAGCTTGCGAGTTTAGGCCCTTCCGATAGATCCGAAGATGAACATATTGCGAGAAAGACTCGTTTACGAAACTCTGATAGTGGTTTCTTTGAAATTACAGATTCTTGCCAAGACGTTTGATCTTTAGCTAAGAAAGCTGGCCCTTGGAACCATAATTCTGAGTATATGAGCTCTGAAAGTAGAGCTTCAATCGACAATATGTCTGCCGTATTTATATTAGTTGGTATGTAACGCTGACCAACAGTGAAAATTACCGGCAAATATTTGCATGCCTGTTTTTCGTTAATTAGCTGAATTGTGATACCCTTAAGAGGTGACATACGAGACCTTGAGCACAGTAGATGCGATTGAGTTTTTCGTTACGCCCGGATTAACCTATCCCAAATGGTCATAGAAGCGAACAATTGTGGACAGAATAGAACGTTTCGTTGGCCTAGAAGACGTCGTCTTGGGCGAGACAGAGAAAAGAAATTGATCTGAACCGGGGTCCTAGGATAGGCCAGGGGTCTTTGTGAAGTCTTCTTCATCGTGAAACTCTAGTGGCTTCTCCTTATCCTGTTTAGAAATTTCACTTAAGAGTTCCGATGCGTTGAAGCACAACTATGTGAATTGAAAATGTTCTTTTTTCAACATGGCCATGATTTCTGCCACTTCTTCTGTAGATTCGCCTCCTGTCATTAAATTATCGTCGTAAAAATCACTATTTAAAACGTAAGAGCCGATTGGAAATGCATCTTGCACGTCCTGAGCCAACTTTAGCATGCAACGTATTGCAAGAATGGCATCTGGTTCCGTAGGTGACTGTATCGAATCTGTAAATTTGTATTTTCTCTAGTGAAGAATCTCTCCGTACACTGCTATACTGATATCTTACAAATGTCCACAGTTAATGCCACTCGAATGTTCGAAGCCGCAACAGTGTATGCAATAATTTAGCTTGAAGGGTGGTAGAAGTTGCTGCAGAACCGTCGAATACGATTCTGAGCTTTATGGTCGAACTGTCTTCTTTAAGAACGCAATGATGCGACTTGTAGTATTGACATCGTACTTTTGATTCGGGACTCACCAACGCCATGTGAGCCAAATCTCTATATCCTTTGATGAATGCTGCGTACTTTTCCTTTAGCTGAGGATGCCGATCCAGTCTTCTTTCTAAACAAGAACATCCAAGTTAAGTTTTAGAGGCAACTTTACTGAGAACTCTCCAGTTGAGAGGCAAGCAAAATTTGATTTGAAATGAGTCTTACAATCTACATGTTCTTGTTTGACTTCCAAGTTTACGCCACAAGATTCAATATCCCAAAAGCGCTTTAGCAGTATATCAATTTTTTCAACTGCCTCTTGTTCACCCTCTCTAATTGTCTGCTACCTCCTGAAACCACCCAACCGAAACGAACCAACCCAAAGTACTGGTAGCTCTGGCGCCAACTTTATTTGGCCGTCTGAGAAAAGTTTGCTCCTATGTGAAGGTCTATGCGCTGAGGCCTGAAGAATTCTGGATCCGATAATCGTATATTTTTTGGAATATTCCAACCCGCAATATCTAAAGAGAAGCTTGGCTGGTGATCTGTCATTTTAGGTGCAACTAGAGCGACAATATTTGCCTGATGCTCTAAGGCTCGAGAATGCAGGCTTAGATTTATAGTGTAGCCATCGACAGCCAGAACGACATCCTGATTTAGATTTTGGGGTCTTCTATTTGGGAAAGCGGCTCGGCATGTTGCAGCACGCTTATCGAAGATAGTACTGTGGTGGCATCTGGTGTGTTGAAATGAAGTAATGTGTGATGCCATAGAAGCGGCACTGTTGGACTTGCATGCTGTAACCTGGTAGGGGGGCCAGTTTATACACAAATAAGTTTTCTTCACCTCTCTTAGTCGAGCAGACGGCAAAAGGTTGCCGAAGGATGCGCAAGAATATGTAGAGGATTTCAACAAAACCCATAACGCAGGCATTAGAATTAGTCGCTTCGAATACATTTCTACTGTTGTTAAATTTGTTGTTCTTTACAACTAGCTTGCTAGGCGCATATGTGGCCATGGCATGTTCCATAGTTTACAGACGCTGGCATCGTGACTCTAAAAACGAAGTGATACCTACGATCTTGGGTATTTCCCTCATCGTCGCATGCTCTTCCCATTAAGATAGCGTAGCTCTGTCCATTTTTGAAAAAAACGTACAAACAAAGTTCCTCCAAACTGCCCATTCCCAGCAAAGCCCTCAAGAGTGCGATTAGCTTGTCCGATAATTTACGTAAGTTTATTGCAAACGCCACCTCCACCTTATCAAGCCCAAATATCTCACTGATGAGTGCCTGTATTACAAGACGTTTTTTACTACAACGTTTATTTAATAGTTCCAGCGCTACGAAATAGTTTGCGCCAAAAATTTAAAACGCTCTGATTATAATTCAGGCGCTACCAAAATCTGCGAACTTCTTATAGCCCCAGAAAAGGTTTGCAATTTTACTTCCGGGACGCGCTATGGATTGGCCATAACCAATGTTGGCCGATCCGATGAGAGCAAGGCGGCTGCTCAGGCATACGAATCTGCAGCTGGCTGCGAGCACGAACTATAATTGTCATTACGCACTTGTCAAAAATTTCACGATATCGATTTCATTGTATTAAATCTTGTAGCTATTTGAGGTTGCTATAGATTCTTGCGAAAGTTCATTACTTATACTTTGCACTCGCTGAACAAGGGCATTAACCTTGCGCTTATTAAAGGACATCCCTGTTTTGTATCGGTCTATAACTTTCCACTTTTTCATCCGACAAAGTTCACCGTCATGTTCTGTTGGCACTCAAAAGTTGCCGCGTGCGAAAAGGTGGAATTGGAGGGCAGCTGATAAGAGCATCTGAAGGGAAACCAGTATGCGTGTATTTGAAATCGTTCACTGTATGTGGGTATGTATATGAACGAGAACCGTTCACTGTGCGTATGGGCGAAAATACGGAAATTAAGCCCACACTAAAGTTTGTTAGTTAATTGTTAATTGTACAAACTCTATTAAACTCTTTTAGAAGTAATTGTTCCTGCTTTTATTTTATTTAAATGCAATGGATTAGTGGTTAAATGGATATTTTTCTGAACTTGGTGCCTGGGGGAGCGCTAACCTCCCATGCCCTTCTTCTCTTTTGACTACGCCTGGAGAACGGTGGGCCTACCATGCTCTGCGTAGTCGACGCTTTTTCAGTAGGAGCGAGATCATATGTCTATTTGGGCGTGTGTTTCTTGTGATGATGTTTGAGTGTTTTTCAGCGGTAGACATAACTTCTATGAATTCTTCCAGTGAGTTTTTAATATCAGCCTCGCAGGATGTTTTGGGTTCGAGCTCAATATTGGAGCTTACTTACACCTGGGTGTTTTTTTTTTTTGGTTCTGTGGGCCAGTAAGTGGATCTACCCGGTAAAACAAACATTAGCTTATTGGCTGGAGTGGTGATAGCTTTGTATAATTGACGACCTTTAGGGTTAGCGAGACGAGAGCCCCAGTATTGATGCTTTTCATTATAGTCACCTGCTGCTATAAAGCTGTAACCTAGAGAGTTATAGAACTCAATGAACTTTGCTTATCTATTAAAGCATGGGGAATTTTGCGAGTGGCCCGCTAGTTATTCGCAAGGAGGTGGCCTGTAGGTAATTAGTAGCAAACCGTTCCATAGGATGATGACTGATACGCTGCTTTATTAGGATGCCAGTGCCGTCAGACTGGTTGATTTCGTAAAAAATGTAACCGGTGAGATCGAAGTAATTTTTGTTAATTAGGTTTCCGAGAGATGCATGATATCAATGTTATGAATATTAAGAAACTGAAGAAATTATTAGAACACTTGAAAATGGGATCTGCTTTAACTTATTTAGCGCTCCAGAGCGGAGCGGAGACTTATGTGAGAGTTGGAGTGGGAAAGCGTAGGAACACCGAATGGAGACCATTGGAGGAATACAAACGCCGACGACAAAGGAGTCTTTTCTCAGCACTAAGCAACGGAGGCATTTTTATAGAGGATGGATCTTTTAGGAAACTCGGTTTTGGTCCCCAATAATAAGAATAACCTAAATTGCGCGAAATAGTACGAAATTCAATTTTGGAATGAGAGGATTACGGACCTTAAAGGATTGGATAGAGTCGGAGTCCTGGATGAAGATATGCTTGGATGAAACAACAAGTGGTACCGACTACGGTAAGTGAAACAGTTACGGAGCTTTTGCAATTGCCAAGTTGGTTTCAAAACACTTTGTGCACCGCTCGATCCAAGTAGGAATTTACTTTTTCAGAATTGCTCCCATAATGAGAGCGCGAGCTTTAGAAGTTTTGTGGAACACATGTAATGCCGAACTTTAATGCCGGAAATTTCGAAGGATGTTAAACAAACTTGGATGCTGTTTTAAAGATTTTTCAAGGCTGGTGCAGGTTCCTGTGCAATGAATTACAAATATTTTCAGTTTGCTATTGACTTACATCAGTTTAATTTTGAAATGTTCAATTATGTTATCCCAAACTAAGCAGAGCCTCGCCTTTAGTTTTGGCATTTAAAAGAAACAGCTTAAACAGTATATCACGGTGAAAAGGTCTCGGAAAGTCAGCCAGCTAAGTTACTCGCCTGTGAAAACCAACATATCGATAGGAGGGAGCCGACAGCTTACTATTATGCTAAAAGACTGCGTGAGATGATTGGGAGGATCTTTGTTCGATTTCAGTACACAGAATATGTTTGATCGTATTTCGAATATGGGATGAATAACGTGCTTGCGGCATCTTCGACCGCAGCCACAATACATTCGGAACATGTATATACATATGTTTCCTCCGCCTTATCCCACAATGATATGATATGGTCGGGGCGTACCTTACAGGTACATAATGTTGCAGTAGCCCCAGCAGAATTGTTGCCGCTGTCCCTTAAATGGCTTAGACGGTTGGAAATAGAAATAAACTTTTTTAAATCGGCGCTTGCCATTGCGAATATAAATTTATTATGATTGGATTTAAAATATAAGAATTGGATTCCCGTCTCAATCTCTGAAAATTATTAATCTTTGAAGTTTAAGAACGACATGGAACTCACACGGATATACGGAATTTATGGATAAATTTGGAATTTTGGAACCAAAGGAAATTCGTAAGAATATACGACCACACTGAAATGTGTGGATGAAGCTTAATTTAATAATTCGGAATATTTCCTTACATAAATATTCTAGAATGGACGCAAAAAAAAAATTAAGTGAATAAATAGTGGGGAACTGAACAGTATATATGGTCGCACTGGCGCACGGACTGATATTTATGACCGTTATCAAACTATACTAGGAAAATATTAACGAATATTGTTACGTGGACGTATCAGTGCCCTAGTCCGAGTATTGCCCCGCATGAACTCACCGGATTTGGGTGTGATTCTTAGTAGCTTATTCCCTCCCTAACATAACAAGAATAAATAATAAAAGTGCCTGCTAAAAGTTGTTGCATTTTCAGTTGAAGCCGTCTGGAAAATACTGAAACGAACCGATACGTCAGCAGGTCCCGCTATCGATAAGATTTGGTGGTGACACCGACTATTAATAGCGGGAGAGGATCTAGCTATTTAAATTTAGCCCGGTTCGCTCGTTAACTGGGTTAGATGGCCTTGAATACGTTCGCTGACCCATCTTGAGAGAGCGGGAGGGAAAATGGCGAGCGACTTTGGTGTAGGTCAGGGTTTTGCTTTAGTTGCTGCAAGAAGTAGTAGGAGAACGGTCAGAAAAAAAAAACCCAAAATTTAAGTTCGTGATTAGTGTTTGAATAACTCAAGGTGAGTGTTTATTTATTAGTCCGGAACTTGTAAATTACAGTGTTTTTTTATATTGAAGCCGCCGGGGACCCTAACTAAAGGGCCCCGGAAGTTTTAAAGATTTGGGCAGTGAAAACTTACCAGGCGGACCTAACCTGGTCGTCGTCCACCAGCCGTCGCAGCATTAGCCTCAACAGCATTGGCCTCAGCAGCATTGGCCGCAGCAGCATCAGCAGCAGCAACATCAGCAGCATCAGCAGCAGCAACATCAGCCGCAGCAGCATAAGCCGCAGCAGCATCAGCAGCAGCAACATCAGCCGCAGCAGCAGCGATCAGTAGCAGCAGCAGCAGCCTCAAGCGCCAGCAGCTACAGCGACTGCCGCCAAGACGGCCAGATACGGAGATTCCCTCGGTGAGTCCGTTCCGGGAACGAATGCCCGCGCTGGCCACGTGGTCATCTCCAAGTCCACCGACGCACTGCCTCCGGCTACGCTGCGCTACCCTCCGGACCAATTGGCTCCGTGCGGACTCGCGCTGGTTTTCGCCGCTAGCGTTTTTCCATTCGGGCTGCAGTTTCAACACATCCGCCGTTGAACTCTGCAATAAATTAGTTATTAATTAATAAATCATGCAGTCAAGATTGTCAAGTACTTACTGTGAAATCTAATCTAAAATTAGAGGCTCAAGCCCGAACCCTAGCCGCGCGTCCAACAATATCTAAATTGGGTCGCGAAATTTAATAACTTGTGGGATTTGTTTAGCGTACTTACCTTATCAGCACGTCCCTTCTTTTCCCTTGGAGCTCCTCAGGATTAGGCGACCCGGTTGGCAAACGCCTCCAATTTGGTGCCGTGCGGCGACTTTGCCTGACACTTTGAACTTTAAGCGTCTAAAAATTTCCCTTTCGGTTGTTTCCGCTTTGACCGCTTCGCATCTGGGCGACGGTCTGAGATCGGCCTTAAAGTTTCTAACGAAAAGAATAGGTTATCAGTAGGAATCAATAATGAATGTATTTACTTATTAATCTCAACAAGAATTAAATTTAAACAAGCTACCGAGATGGTTGTGTGAGTTACCTTGGGCGGGGAGATGAGCCGATCCTAATCCACCAGGAATAGACTCCGGTCTGCCGGAGATGGGGTGTGCCTCCCACATCTTTCTTGGGGCACCCAAGGTTGGGTGGGTGCGTCGTGGCAAGGACATCGAAGCCACCAATTTCGTCGAATTATCTTAGTTGCTTGATGTAAATATAATTTTGTTTTGTTTTGATTTGTGCTAGAGATGGTAAATCGACGTGAGACGTCCGATGAGTTGGAATCGATTGTTCGGACTGCAGGGCATAGGGGGTACTCCGCCCTGGGACTCCGTGGCTAGCCGGCGCTGCCCTCCGGGAAAGATGCAGTTCCGTAACAATATGGCGCCCAAATTAACAAATAAAATATGTGATAGCCGAGTCGACGGCGTCTCGCATAGTTATTATCTCCAACCAGCCCACGAACGGTGGCTTGCATGACACACATGCAATTGCACCGGGATGCGGACTGGTGGAGAAAAGTTGTTTAAATTTTGTAGGAAGAAAGGGAGGCGTGTCCACTAGAAGTAGGACAATTGCTCCCGAGGCACAGTTCACAGGGATTAGCTGTGATTTGGCGGTGACATCCTCTTCGAAGAAAATCGAAGGATTCGCATCCCAGGTCGTCCGTGCAATAAGCACAAAAGGTTAAACCAAAAACGGTGATGAGACTGTGATATAGGTATTAGGGACATATTTATTTTGTTAACGTAATTTTAATGAATGTCTTGTTTTGGGGTTACAGTGTAGTTGTTTTTTTTGTGCAGATCCTTGGGTTTTCTGGGTATTTGCGTTTTCAGATCATATCGGTTAAAACTTAAATGTGTGGTCGTGACCCGTGACTTCGTCACGCGCTGCTCGGCCACCGCAACTTGAATGAAAAACGCAAAGTCCAAAAGGAAATCCTATGCGATCCTGCAAACAGCCGAAGTCCTTAACTGGCGACTTTCAGCACAGCTGAAAGTTAGTCCAGTTGACGAGCGGTTTGTTTAGTGAGAATTCGGACGAAATTGTAGACGCAAGACGACTGGCGCGGAGTCTACCGGCTGGCGATCGGCTCCATCTCCCCTTATTGAGGCTGGAAAAAAAAAAAATAAAATAAAAATAGAGAAAGAAATTTAGTCGAGGGACTTGTTTTTTTGATAAGAGCTAATATTTGGTGTGAATTTGTTTAGCCTTAGGTATTTGTGGGTCTTTAATATATTTTCTTATTTATTTCTTATGGTTTATGGTTTATTGTTTCTATTTATTTATTATTATTATTTATTGGCCTGGTAATATAAGTATTCGTATTATTTAGGTGCATATTATTTAGTGGTGTTTATTTATTGTTTATTATTATTTACTATCATTCAGTATAATTTATTTATTTATACATAATTTGGGCTTTTGGTGGCCACGTTGAATTCGGGGTTTCAGAAGTCGTGTTAGGGGTTATCAAAATTCAGGATGTCAAAGCGACAAGGCAGCAAGCATGATCACCTGCTTCGGTCGAAAGGTTTTCCAGGCGAGGACGACGAAAAGATGTGGTCCACGGATGTGGAGGGCGTTACCGAGGCTGGCTTGCCGCGCATATCGGAAGGGTTGCCCAGGACTCCGCTTGCCCGTTTGCGCCAGGGACTGCAACAAGAGCAAAAAGGACCAAAGGACACAGAGCTGCAGCAGGACCTAAGGCAGCAGCAGATCCTGGAGGGAATTGGTTCCGCAGCGGATGAGTTATTGCAGCTGGACGATAAGGACGCAAGACTCCACGATCCCTTTGTGGACTCCGCGGCAAGGTCGGCCGTTAATGTGGCTTTGGCACAGGCGGCGGAGACCCATCGGAAGGCCCAAGAAGGCGGGATCAATCAGGCACTGAGGGACAAGATCCGAAGTGGCTTCCTGGAGATGATGAAGCTGATGAACGAGGTGTTAAGGCCTGCTGCTCAGCGGCCTCAGCTTCCCCCTGGAGAGCATGCCGGATGAGCGAAGGCGTCCGGATTCAAGGATCAACGCGGGAATCCCTGGTCAAGCCCCGCAAGGTGCGGTGCCGAAGAACACACAGGTCACCGGCAGGGACGGTTCCAGGCTACCTCCGCCGAGGGTGCCACCCAAACCGACGAGGAGGCCGCTGGATTTCCAGGAGTTGGAAAGTAGCAGTCCCGGGTATCCTCCGGATCATTTCAGGTCGCGCCGAGACGATGGCCCGGCCCGCAGCTGGTGCATTGAGGACCGCAGGGCCTCAGAGTTCCGGGAGGAGCCGCGTCTGTATGCCAATATGGGGCCGGCAGCCGCCAACCAGCAATGGCGAATTGAGCGGTAGGGCGTATCCTTCGACGGGGAGGATGAGCGAAATTCGGTGGAAGATTTTCTCTTCCGGTTCGAGTTCCTGCAGCGGCAGTGCCAATGTCCGTGGCAAGAGGTGCTCCGAAACTTCCACCTGCTGCTCACTGGGCGGGCTCGGGAGTGGTACTGGGTGCACGTGCGTCAATGCAGGGTGGACAGGTGGTCCCAGCTTCGAGCCTCGCTGATGGATAGGTTCCGATGCCATCAGACGGAGCATGATCGGATGCACCAACTTCTGCAGAGGGAGCAGCAGCCCGGAGAAGGAGTTGCCGATTATATCCATGCGATGCAGCAGTTGGCGGCTCGACTGAAAAGGCCACTGTCAGAGCGGCAGCTGGTGAAGATTATTAAAAAGGGATTGAGGGAGAGCATCGCAAGGTTTGTCTACGCGATGGACGTGCTCACGGTGGATGAACTGCGGGAAGAGTGCTGCGAGGTGGAGCGCAGTTTTGGACGACGTGGACGGACCACGTACACGCAGCCGATGCGGTATCCTCTGGCGGAAAAGGCCAAGGTTAGCGAGGCGATTGGCCCAGATCCTGGTGAGGATCCTCCGTGGCAAGAGGTGGACGAAGTGCGGGCGAAGCCTAAAAATCCGTTCCGAGCCGGTTGCTGGAATTGCGGAGCCGTGGATCACGGGTTCCGTGACTGCGCAGCAACAGAACGCAGACTGTTCTGCTACCGATGTGGGAAGCCCGACACCGTGTCTCCCAAATGTCCGGATTGTGCGGAAAACGGTCGGCTGGGCGATCCGAGGGCGGAGAGGATGCGTCCAGACAGGAGTTCCGCAGAGAAGAAGAGCTGGTAGGGTTAGATAAATGTTTACCTTCTAAAAATAGTAATAAGTTTGCATTACGATACTTACCTTATGCGGAGAGGATGCGGCGGTATCTAGAGACCAGGAACAGGATCTTCTCAGAGCACCAGTTAGGCGGGATGCGTGTGGTGTCTCGCAAGGTGCAAAAGGCCAGGGAGCGATTTCGCAACGTCGGAACTGCCGACGCGAAGCAGTGGCCGCCGTGAGGCGCAGTTTATCGCGAGATCCCAGACCGTTCGCCGCAGTCCGAGTTCTGACCAAGCAACTGACGGGATTGTTGGACACTGGAGCGAGTGTGAGTCTGCTTGGAAAAGGTGGCAGAGAGCTGGTCGAGGCCTTGGATGTGCCCGTCCAGAAGTACTTATCCGCAGTCCGTACGGCCTCTGGAGAGGATCGGTCAATTATAGGACGGGTCAAGTACGGTGGAATACCGAGGACGGACAGAGCACATTCTCTTCTACTTGTGTCCTTACCTGGAGCAGCCAGCTTATTTTGGAGTTGATTTTTGGCAAGCATTCGGACTGGCCCCAGCGATTATAGGCCACATCAATTCGGAAGGCGTGAAGAAGGCCGAAGAATTACACGCCAGGGAGATGGAACACTACGCGGAAGTCGAGGATGACGATGAGGAGAAACCCGATCCCGAGTCCTGGACGCTTTCCAAGGCCGAGGAACAAGAGCTGGAGGAGATCAAGCAGCAGTTCTTGACTTTCGAGAGGGATGGCTTAGGTACCACCAGTCTGGGGAAACACACTATTGAGCTGATGGACGGAGCCAAAGTGTTCAAGGATCGACCCTATCCGATGTCTCCCGCGAAGCAGAAGGTGGTCGAGGACGAGGTCGACAAGATGCTAGCGCTCGGAGTCATCGAGGAGAGCAAAAGCCCCTGGAGTAACCGCACCACCGTAGTGTCAAGATCTGGAAAACACCGGTTCTGCTTAGACGCACGTAAGCTTAATGATGTGACCATCAAAGATGCTTACCCGTTGCCCAGCATAGACGGCATCCTGTCCAGAATTGAGCAAACATACTACATTTCCAGCGTGGATTTGAAGTTCGCTTTTTGGCAGATTGAGTTGGACACGAGCAGCAAGGAATACACAGCCTTCGCGGTTCCTGGTCGGCCTCTTTACCAGTTCCGTGTGATGCCTTTTGGACTCTGCAACGCATCACAGAGGCTGGTGAGACTCATGGACCGAGTAATTCCCGCTGAAATCCGCTCGAACGTGTTCGTCTACTTGGATGATCTGCTAATACTAGCGCCTGACATAAGAACGCACTTGAAGTATCTTCGCCGAGTCGCTGAATGCCTGAAGGAAGCAGGGTTAACCATTGGGCTGAGCAAGTCGAAGTTTTGCTTCAAGTCTTTGACCTACCTCGGCTTCATAGTGGGTGGAGGACGTCTGCGGATGGATCCAGGGCGTGTAGCAGCTATTAGGCGGATGCCTGAGCCAAGGACCATGAAGGAAGTGAGAGCCTTTCTTGGGACCGCTGGTTGGTACCGTCGGTTCATAAAGAACTTCGCAACTTTGGCTGCCCCGCTCACGGAATCCTTGAAGAAGACGGGAAATAAGAAGTTTTCCTTGAGTCCAGAAGCACTGCTGGCAGTAGAGTCCTTGAAGATGGCCCTAACTACTGCGCCAGTGCTGGTACATGCGGACTTCAAGCGGCACTTTTTCATCCAGTGCGATGCATCCCAGATCGGAGTCGGTGCAGTGTTGTTCCAGCGGGATGAAGACGGCCAGGAACAACCAATAGCGTTCTTCTCGGCCAAGATGAATCGTCACCAAGTCCATTACACCGTCACTGAAAAGGAATGCCTCGCAGCCCTGCCGTTCACGTGCATCACCGATCATGCCAGCTTGAAGTGGCTCATGTCCATGAAAGATCTTTCGGGTCGGCTGGCTCGGTGGTCATTGCAACTCCAGGGATATGACTTCAACATCGAACACAGGAAAGGAAGCGAGAACGTTGTGGCAGATACCCTTTCGCGTTGTGTTGAAGAGCTAACGGTGGACCCGTCAGAGT